ACCTTTGGTATCCATGTTTATTTTTGTAGCCGTTGTAATCGCACCCCCCCCCCCCCCCCCAAATGGATTAGCTATGTTTACTGCCGCGGTAAACGCAGCCTTTAGACATTTAATTTACCGTCGTTGTTACCCCAGCCATTTAGTAAAGGAAAATGAAATTGACTTCCGTTCCGAGTTCCGGGTTCTTGCCAAAATTGTTAGTACATCAAAAGTACAGGCATTTCTTTAAAAATGGTGGATAAATTGACAGTATTGTTCGTTGTAATAGAAGTTACACTCATTTTGGCTAGTAAGTATTTTACAGGCCTTTCTTTTAAAAATATTGTTTTCTGTTGACAGTTGCCATGAGTTTAGGCAGTTTAGCCATCATTTCAACGGATGGCCGGATGGCTAATTAAATAATTACTAAATACTATGACTATAATAATTATAATATAATTCTGTTAGTGTTACTCAGTATAGTATTAATGACGAATGTCAACAAAGTCAATGAATGTTGATTCGTCGTGCCACTTTGAGTTTCTTTGTAACATTCACCCCCTTTTGAGCCTTTGTTTCTTTGTGGATTGTTGCTTGATTGAGTAAACTTTTCTTTCTTTTTTAAATTAGTGATGTGCAGCCTATCGCTTGCGAAGCACAAGCGCCTCTGTTCCTAGTGACCTATGTTTTGAAATTAAATGGCCATGACTGGCGCTCCCTTAAAAATAAAAACCATAATGAAAATAATCATAAAAATAGAAACACAAATGAAAGTTTAATTTAAACTTTTGATTGCAAATGTCATTAAATATGGGCATGGGGTTGTTTCGCTTTTCTGGTAATAAATTCCCTATGGTCACCGTTTATGATTTCAACGCCTCTGTACTCTGTTGCCTCTTGAATCAGGTTCGAAGCTTTAAATGTTTGTCCAAACCACCCCCCCCCCTGTAAATTATAATTTCATTTGGTGGTTAATTATAATATTTAAATTATCCAGCATTTTTGAAAATATGTATTGTATTGATTGTTATGAGAAATTTTGGATTTTATTTTTGGTGGAACCTACGATAATAAAGTGTGTAAAATTGTATTCTATGAAACTGTAAGTTGGTTTTCATATTTAAAAAAAAAATTATCTCATTTTCCTTCATTTTTATTCTTTTCTTATCACAGTGTGTAACTGTAGCACACATGTTTTAGTTGAGGGAAGGGAGTGACAACAGTTTGTTGACACTTCTTGCAGCATATCTAACTAAAGGGATACAATAAATTTGCTACATTTGCCATAAAATTGATGTACAGGCTGAAATTATTAAATTAAATTATTATAATTTGTTTCTATTATCAGTTCTCTTTGTAAGTAGCTAAAACAGAGCTTTCTCTATCTTTCACCTCCCCATTTGAGCCAACGTGTGTTGGCACCAGTCCTTTTTTTTTTTTTACATGGCCGTCATTTTGGTGCCATGAAACTCTACCATCATGAAAACCAAGATGGTATCAGCGAGGAAATGAGTGGGGTGCCAAACCAACATTTATCATAATTATTACTGATTGATGTTTAGCATAGAGCTATAATTGAGGTTGCCTAAGCATGGGTAAGGGTAAGGCCCAAGTCAAGAAATGAAAGCAAGGCTACTCTGTTGCCCAAACATTTGAACCTTGTACCTAGACTGGGAAATTAGTCGGTTATTGCCACTATGATAAGTAGGCTCTCATCTGAAAATGTACTTCAAATCAACCAGTGTAGTGGCTAGAAGTATGCCTTAAATGTCATGGAGGCACAGGGCATAGGAAAAGTATGGGGAGCATTTTTGGCTAGCTTCAAAACTTTTGCATTAGGACCCCATCCTAGTGTGACCCCTGATCCCATTGGGACCCGGATCCCATTCTGATACCGATCTCGGCGCAGTCCTGTTTAGGGTGTGATCCCGATCCCAGTAGATCCATTCAATGTAAGGATCCCAATCCCGGTGAGATCCCATTTTCTAATGGGATCCTGATCCCGTTGGGTCAAAGATTATGATGGGATCCCGACCTATTTGGGATCCAGTATCAAAAAATTCTTCAGTGGTACTGAGAGAACAGTAAACTCCTGGGCAGTATAGAAATGAATAGAATTAACTAACATTTCAATAATACCTTAGACTCCCACTCATGTAGGAGTATTTGTTGTGAATTTCATTTATATAGCGCATATCAGGAAAAAAGCGAATTCGGGGCCCCCGGCCCCAAACGGAATATTATAAAAATTTCATAACCCCTTAAGAGTTCCTTCCGGATAATGATGGATATATGTGCCAAGTTTGGTCAAGATCCATCAATCGATGTAAAAGCCTTTGTGGAACAAAGCCACAAACAAACAAACTTTCACTTTTATATATATATACTAGCCAATATACCCGCGTTGTACGGAATTGCATTAGGACCCCAATCCCAATGGTACCCCTATCCTATTCTCACCACGATCCCGCCGCAATCCCTTTTCCCGGTGTGATCCGTTCCTGGTGGGATCCGGTTTTCTTGGGGCTACGTTTCCAGGGGGAATCCAGATCCCGGTGGGATCCCGATCCCGTCATTGTCTTAAACCCAGTGGTATCCCGATGTCAGTGGCATCCCAATGTCGGTGGATCCCGATGGACTACCTATCCCGTGAGGATACCGTACGCTGTTGGATCCCATTCCAATTGGGCACTATCTTTCCTGATGTTATCTCTTTTCCCGATAGGATCCCGATCCCAGTTTGATCGTGTTACATGATGGGATTGCATAACCGATGGGTTCCAGTTTACTGTTGGATCTCGATCCCCATTAGGATCCTATTCCTCTTTGGGATCATGCTCAGTGCGATTTTGTTCAAATAAGTTTTAAATTCCATTATATATCCTGTAGAACATTAAAGAACCTTCTGGAAAATTCTCGATTAAATTTAATATCCTCCGTGAAAAGTATACAAAATTACTTTTCAAAGTAATTAATTGTCAAATACGAAATATTATACAACTAATTTGCCCTACTATAACTGTAGTACATTTAAATTAAACCGGGGGCACATTTAATAAAGTACCATTTTAGTTATGTCCGAGAATGGGGGCCCTACAAATATCAGACAGATAAATAATAGAGTTAAAATGTAAATTTGGTCTCATAAAAATCTACTTAAAAATACCATAGATTTAGCTTTTTAAAAGTATCAAACTTTTTGGAAAATTCTAGAATGGATATTTTTAGTTTTAAATCCACCGATATTTCAATACGTTCGATGGCTACATCAATCAATTCCCATAGAAACTATAGTTTTGTGTAAGCCTATTGATATTTATATGGCTTACGTAAGAAAAAATGAAACGGGGTCCCCGGCCCCATATGAATGGATATTATGAGTTCAATACCCGTCCATATGTGAATATGGATAATAAAGTATATGTGTACTAAGTATGGTAAAGATCCATCTATAGATGTAGGAGTATTTGTTGTTAATATTATTTATATAGCGCATATTAGGATAAAAATGAATTCGGGGCCCCGGGCCCCAAACGGAATGTTATAAAAAGTTTATAACCCCTTAAGAGTTCCTTCTGGATAATGATGGATATATGTGCCAAGTTTGGTCAAGATCCATCAATCCTTGTAAAAACGTATGTGGAACAAACACCGCCCGCCCGCCGGCCACAAGCATTCACTTGTATATATATATATATATATATATATATATATATATATATATATATAAAAATATATATATATATATATATATATATATATATATATATATATATATATAAATAAATATATATATGATGTATATGATAAGTCACATGTCTAAGTAAGATGTGGGAATTTGTGATGATTGGGTGGGTGGTTAAAAATCCCTAATATATTGCTTTTACATTCTCAAACTAGCCTGGTTGGACATTTAGCAGGAACAAAACAACTCAACCTCAGATCAACAAATGTCCCTTGCATGCATGGATATTAAATGGAAATAGATCAAATCACCTTTGACCAAGTAGGTGTTGCTGTTGAGTGATGCAAGGTCTCCATCATCCAGTATAATGATTAGATGGAAATATGCTAATCTATATATATAATTCGCCAGCAAGGGTCGAACACCACCACCACCACGCAGGCTATGTATAGATACGCCAGAGCGTGGTTCAATAATGAGTTCACTAATTCCCGATAACTACGCTAAGTGATATATATATATTTTTAATAACGCAATTGCGTTTGGTGCGTAATATTTTCTTTTTGGAAATGAAATCATCTCAATTAAAGTATTGTGTAAAAAATGTAAAAGTGGTTGGGACATGAGAATATTAATATAGTTCATGGGCGTGAAATAAAAAGTGTGCAGTGACATACATGGGGGAAGTGGTGTAGCAAAAATTGTAATTCATAAATGTGCCATACTTGAGTTAATGTTTTGTCAAGTAACTTTAGTAGGTGGGAAATTCACGCATTGCTGTCGCCAATGTTTGGCGGGCTATACCTAGTTCTAATTATTATACACTCCACCTCTCACATCCCATCATTATGAGGTGTAAGGGAAGGTGTTTGTGATAGGATATTTTATGGTTGAATTAAATTATTGACCTTCATGGGGAAAAACACCAAAACAAATACTGGCACCTAGCTCGGTTTTTCAATCGTGTTCAAAACACTGTATTTTAGCTTTTATGCCTGAGTACCAGGGCGCAACTTAGCATTTGAGAAATGCTGTTGTAAACAATCTAAGCCTAGGGTTTTAAAAAAAAAAGAGAATTGTGTGATGCATCTTGCTAGTGCTGTTTTAACTATTGCTGTTAATGACTGTTAAATAAACTAAAACGTCTTAAGAGTTGCTTACATCATAACAAGCCATTAAAGCAGGGATCTCAAACTCGCGGCCCACTGGCCATTTGCGGCCCTCAAGACGATATTTTGCCGCCTTCTACCTGACAGCAAAGTTTAGTATTAATATGGCCCGCTGTCACAAATGACTGGGGCGGGGGTACAGGACAGAGCTCCATTGTTGTTTAGGTAACTTATAGGATGGAAGGAAACTGCTGTTAATGGGGTTAAGTTAAGGTTAATAGACTCTCACATCTTGATATAGTGGGGGATTGTTTCTTTGGATAATAGTATGTTCGGGTTTTCAAGACTTCGCATGATAATTTTTGGGTTAACAATGGGAAGGTCTAATTGACCGGAAATTAGGGGGCATGGGTGTGTTTATAGATAGCATTCCTGGATCACCTATGGGGGGTAGAGAACGACATATAAGAGGGAGCTTTCACTGAGTTAAGGGAGTTGAGGGAGAGTGAACAGAGGTACAACGAGTTGAGGAAGAGGGAAAGGAGCGACAGTAGTTAGTTGAGGAAGATAGAGAAGAACTACGGATTAGTTGAGGAAAGAGAGAGAAAAGAACTACGATACAACTGAACAGTTGTTAGGGAATACTTGCTAGAGACCAGAAGACGACAGATGACTGGAAAAACGTATATCTTACCAATAAACACTTTCATTATCGTTGGACACCAGAAGTTTTGAGTTGTTGCATTTCGTCCAAGTCTACGTTGTGCTTTTGTCTGTCTCAACGCCTAGACACCCACAATATAAATCACAGAGAGGAGCGGTCCTGTACTGACCACTACTAAGTCAACATAGTTTGTGTTAAGTCAGGACCGGAGCCCTCCTCCTTAACAACCGTTCTGTGACACCCGCACGTTTCCACATTCTCCTATCTATAATGTGACCCTCCGTGACGATTTCAGTCAAATCTCACTGACTAGTATAATTATGATTTTTATTATGTTATATAAATACCTATAGGTTTTAAAGGGTTATTACAATGGTAAAAACCGTTTTAAAATCGGACTTAAAGGTTTTATTTGATTGAATTTTATGAGACAAACATGGCCACAACTGTAAATGGTAGCAATCTGTCACAGTATCAAACAATCCCTATTAAAATTGCTGCTAGTGTGTACCCGAACCCAGTCATGTCTTTTTCAAAACCTGCTGTGAAGAGAAAGGTTGGCGATGAGCGCATACAGTTTCAGGAGAAATGGGAGACGGACTATTGTTTTGTTGAGCACAGGGGCATTCCGACGTGCCTTATATGCACAGAAAAAGTTTCGGTGCACTAGGAGTACATCAGATGTCATCCAGACATTCTGAGGAGTATGCAAAATACCTGGGAGATGAGAGAGAGGCCCGGGTTGCTAAAATTAAAACATGTCTACCGAGGCATCATGATTTTTTCAAGAAAGCGATGCAGCAGTTGAAGCTAGTTACATGATGAGTGAGATGATTCATTCAAAGAAGGCGAGTTCATCAAAAATTGCATGTTACAAGCTGCAAGTTTATTCTGTCCGGAAAATAAGGGTTGGTTTAGCAGCACCAGCCTTTCAGCCAAACACAGTGACAGAGCGCATTTCTGAGCTCTCAGGTGACATTTATGAGCAACTGTGTGAGAAAGGTAACCATTTCCATTTCATACTCAGTCGGTCTTAATGAGAGCTTAGATGTTACTGACACTGCACAGCTCGCAAAATATGTCCGTGGTGTTGATGCTAATTTTGAAGTGATGGATTAGTTGCTCAAAGTGATTCCAATGCTTGGCCAGACCACTGCTCAGGAGATATTCCGCCAGATGTGTGATGCCATTGTGAAGGCCGGTTAACCTTTGCAGGAATAGCAACCGACGGAGCGCCATCAATGACAGGGACAATAGATGGACTTCGTGGCACATGTTCAAAGAAAACTGGAAGAGGAGGGTGTGGAAAAGGTCATTGCACTACACTGCATTATCCATCAGCAGGCCCTTTGCAGAAAATGTCTGAAGTTTGACAATGTGATGTCTGATGTTGTGAAATACATCAACCTTATCAGTGTTGCCTATGATAATGTCAGGGCATTCTGCACAAAACTTGTGTTATGGAAAGCCCAGCTTTCTGAGAGAAACCTCTGCCATTTTCCAACATGCAAAGTACTCATGGACTCGGGCACACCATTCAGTATTAAGTATACTGATGCCAGTAAAAAGCTACAGGAAGAATTTGATCACATGATTTTAGACTTCAAAACACACAGAGCCACTTTTCAAATTTTTGCTGACCCTTTCTCCTTCAATGTAGAATATGCCCCATGCACTTCCAATGGAGCTAATTGATCTTCAGTGAAATTCTAGTTTCAGGGAGGTGAATGGAAAAACAGACAAGCATGGATAATTTATGAGAGCATTGTCCTCCACCTTCCCTGAGATTTCCTGTTTGTTCAAGCGGATTAAGTGCCTTTTTTTGGGAGTACCTATCTGTGTGAAAAGCTCTTTTCCACTATGAACTTTAACAAATCAATGTTCAGGGCAAAACTTACTGATGAGCATCTTCAAGCTATACTGAGTGTCTAAGTTGCTTCCTCACTCAAGCCACATGCTGCTCAGCTGTGTAAGAAGAAGCTGTAGCAGGTCTCTGGCAACAAGTAGAAGAAGAAAGTAAATGAAGCCTAGTTCTTGAGAACCCTTAATGTTTTATTTGTTATTAATGAAGTTTGAGCAGATTGCAACAGCTGTACTTGAATTTGTAATCACTTTCTTTGTGTGGATTACTTAATGCTGCCTAGTTTCACTCAGACTCTACCTCCTGCTGCCCCTGGCTAATTTGAGTTTGAGACCCCTGCATTTAAGTCTTGATATCTCATGCAAAAAGCCTAATATCATTTGGATTGTGCTGTCTCATTGTGTAAGTGCTGATGATGTCATAGAAAAAAATGGCAGCTAATTTGGAGGGGCTAACTTTTATAATTACATTGTACTACATGCAGAAATTAAATTGAACAACTAAAAATTGTATTATATTTATAATCATAGAATTGTGTTTTACTTGTCTGTCTGCATGAGTGAATTTTCCACAGTAGCCCAGGCCCATTACATAGGTATTTAAGGTCAAGGGAACCAGGAGTTTAAAGGGTTGATTGGAATTTTATTTATGATTTTTTTAAAGCAAAGAAACATGAATAATATTCATTGTCCATTAAAGCCGTAATGAATTAAAGATCTGCTGGAATAAACAAACAAATTGTGCATGTAAAAATTCAGTGTTAGATAAACTTATTCGCAGTGCCCTACATTTAATAAATTTCCTTTTTATTCACAAAGTTTCTTTGACCTGCCTTGTACAAAAGATTTATCATGGGATATTCATGAACGTTATATCTAATGATTAAAACAAATTCAATAGATTAGAATATCAATATTATCGTCTGCACATTTTAAATTTAAATTTTTATTTTTATTCATAGTTGGTATAATTTCAATTTGCATGCGAAACTTCCTGGAACCATTTCACCGTGGATTCTTCAAAAATGACCAGTCATTGATGCATCCTTACCACTCATCTACCATTCCTAGTACTTTAATGTACCTTGTTGGATTTTTAGTTCCTGTTGCAGCGGTCAGTTTAAAGAATTTTTTAAATCATTTAGTAAGCTGAAGATTGAGCCTTTTCAAGTTTTCACAGGTATTAAAATGGAGAAGTGATTATCATACATTACACCTCAATTTCTTTCAACACAACGAAACGTTTTTTTATCCTTCAGAAATGTGCTAACAATACACTTCTCAATGAACACCGAATGACAAATTAAGTCTACTTGCAATTTTTTTCTTTCCATCTTAGGTCCAAAAAAATTTAATAATAAAAAAAAAGAAGTTAAAGATAAACACATTTTGAAAAGCTATGCATATTATGTAGTTACAATTACACAACCACCCACTTACTTTATTTGTAAGTTAAACAGAAAGTACAAACTTATTGAAACTATGGTGTGATTGAAAAGGTTTAACTTAAGAATAGAAGATAACTCCTTTTTCTTGTGTGTCATTCTTAGATGTGGGTCATTGAGACTTTACACTTCAAGCATCATGTAGAGCAAAGAAGTGGAGACAAGGTACCCCTCAAAATAATCCTCGTTCACTCTCTATGGAACTGGTTTAAAGTCGTAGGCATATTCATACTAGGAGCTGGGATAACCCATTTACTCACCAACATACCCAAGTATTCCATTGGTCGATTGCGTCCTCATTTCTTTGATGTTTGTGACCCCGACTGGTCAAAGGTCAATGATACAAAAGGTTACATCACTGCAGATATTTGTTTAGGAATTGATCAAGATCTTATAAGAGAAGCCAGGTATTTATTAATTTTTATATGCTATGAGGCATGGAAAGAAAATCAAATTTTTTTTCCTACTTTTTTTGCTTGAGATACAGAGCCTAAACAGGTTACAGTTGTGTTTAAAAATTTGAGAAATAATTATGTGCAATAAAAAGAAAATATTTTTCTTTCAAATCTTTTCTTCGAATTGAATGTATATTTTTATATTTTATAAAATCTCAGAGCATAAATGACTTTACAAAACTGAGATCTTCAAAACTTTTTTTGAACAACAAAATAATCTTTGACATGTATAATCATCCTTTTTTATTTAATCAAAACAAGTAGACAAAGCTTTAGCATTTGCAAGTAGAATATACTTCTATTTCTATATACATCATAAATTTTCTCTGTATTTATATGTCCTCTTGAAGTGGGTTTAAATAGGTTTATTCTGATTGTTTGGCTACTAGAAATAGTGGAGGTCTTAATATCAGTTCAGCGATGAGTTCTACAATGACCAGAATTATTCACTTCATTAAATTTAACAGTTTTAACCTCTCTCTTTTAAAAAAAAAAAATTCAGATTGTCATTTCCATCGGGACATTCTTCTATGTCTTTGTACTGTGCTACTGTGTTTATGGTAAATACACAATATTTTCATATTAGATTTACCAAAAATAATTTCTGCCGTAACTTACATGACATTTTATTGCTTTTTAATGATATAGTATAAAATATAGTAAAAATTCTGTGTAGGTGTTTTAAAAATTTTTTGTATAAATTATATACGTTAAAATTTTTGTTATCTGTGGGTTTGCAATGTTATCTTTGTGAGATTTTATTTTCTAGATATACCTTAACAAGCGATTCAAATGGAACCAGATCAAGATAGCCAGGCCATTACTTCAGGTCCTAGCTTTTGGCATGGCCTTTTACACCTGTTTGTCAAGGATTTCGGATTACAAGCATCACTGGAGTGATGTTCTGGCTGGTGCAATATTAGGATTGATTACTGGATTTTTCATTGTAAGATTTTATTTGCAAGATTACTGTAAATATTAATTTAACCCATGAACTGTCGTCAGCCGCTTTTCTCTTCCTGTACTATCGGCCGATAAAAATTGCTTAGAAAGAACAACTTCCAGTAACTTCCAGTCCAAATTTTTCCACTAAATAAAACTAAGTTCTTTTATTAATAAATGTTTTTCGCTCTTCTGTGTCCTTTTTTTAAACTTTCGAGTTATTGTTACACTGATCTTTATCAAGCAAATTTGTGTACGTTGATTTTTGCGAAATGGATGAGGCCATAGCTGGACCATCTGGCTTAGAAAATAAATCAGTTATGAATCTTTTTGATAAATTTTTATTTAATGAGTTAGGTGATTCGGAAGATGATTTTCTGATCACACATGGAGACAATGATAATTCCGATTATTTTTCTAGTGGGTCAGAAAGCCAAAGTTCTGACTCGGACGATTTAGACCTAGGCCTAGAACGAGTAGGCGATGCCCCAACAACAGGACTTGTTCAAAACTATGTTGCAGATGATTGTGGACCAACAAAAAATAATGGGATGTTGTTCTAAATATGTTTTCTTATATTTCATTTGAGAGATTAAATATTTATATAGCAGCTTTTTATATTTTATCTGTTTCTTGCTATTTAGTAATGTTTATATTGTTTATGTCGTGGTTTGTTATTTGAATGTAATTATAGGTATCAGAGGAATTGAAAAAAAAATCTATTAATAACAAAACATATACAAATAATACATTTTCTGAAAGGTAAATAAAAATGCTATCATATTATATAAACATGATAATAATATGCCCTTAACTTTAAAAAATTGTAGTTTGAGGTACTTGAAAAGAAAACTTTTCATTATTTTCTTTATTCTTGGCCACTCCAAGGTTACGGTATAAAATATCATTAAAAAGTAGCCAATATAATTCCCCACTCAGTCTAATTTCAATAAATATATACTTTATATATTTGCATGTGAAAAATGACATTTTTCAAAGGCACCCGAAAAGCTCTAAATTGCCTGCACAGTACATTCTGTAATTATTCTAATAACATGTACGGTTTGTGGGTTCATATAACTTTAAATTAAATGGGTGCTGAAATAGTCAAATTAAAACTGGGGTAAAAGTAAATCAGCAGGGACAAAATATTAATTGTTTGGCAAATCTGGGTTCAAATCCAAGAACATATTAATTAGAGTTAATTTCCAATACTGCCAGCTGTCTGGCACACAAATCAAGTTATGAGGCAGCGTGTGAATGAAGGGTTGAAATCTCTCCTGGCCAGTAAGAGCTGATCATTAGTCTATTATTTACTTCCATTTTACCTAAGTTGCTTAAAATTTAGCCCTGTTTGCAAGAAATAGTGCTTTCAAAATGACAGCAAGGAAAGTGAGATTTTTGAGTAAGTTAAAACTACAAATAAAAACTTGTTTCAACCCAATATTCAGCACATCTTAATAATTAAAGTGGTTAAAATGTTTCTTTCTCTCGTTCCACAGATGCATCGAATGTCTGAAGTAGTCTTTATCAAATCAGAGTCTCAGCGGATATCACGAAGTACTAGTTTGCCGTCAAATTTTTTGGATTATCATTCGAGCCGTTTGGCTACCATTGAAGCCACTTCCTTTTAACTCATTATGCTAATGATTATTTTGTGATATTATTAAATTTCAATCATTTGTGTTAGTAAAATCTATCTGTTTAATGGAAAAGATTTTAGTTTCTTCTGGGAGTGTTTTAAAAAAAAACATTTGAAGACAATTTAAAATCTAACTGTGCCTTTAACTTGTAATTAAATTTTTGGGTTAATCTTTTCTGTACCGGTACTTCATTAGATTTTTATATTGTATTTTATATTCTATTCAAGAAAATCAAGGGTCACAAGTTATAAATAGAACTAGAACGTTGAATAACTTTAATTCCTTGAATTAAGCGTAAATCAAAATAAACTAAATTAATTAGTTTGCAAGGCTTTAAGAATTTTTTCTTTAGTGTTTCAGAGCAATATCTTTGAGGATATTGTGTTAAATAATAATTGGTTATAGAATACACGTAATAAATATAAAAATGTTGGATCTATTGGAAATAAAATTACTGTGCAGTTATTGCTCTTCATCATTGTTATTGTAACGTCATTCTGCAGTCATTCTTATGACGTGATTTGTCCCTCATTAATGATTAAGTTCTTTATCCAGTCTGCACAATCTATTTCCATTATTTCCTCACTGCATTGTGAGATTGTCATGCCATTCAAATTCACTGTGATTATAATAGTTGTATACAACTTTCTTTTTTAATATCTTGTGTACATTCCTATCTAACTAAAAGAAAATTTAATGGTTGGTTGCTGCCATTTTTTGTGCATACTAGAAATATTGGATCCCAGGTATTTGAAATGCTCAACAACCAAAAGATTATGGCCCTCAATAGATATGATTGTAGGGGACGGTGCTTCTTGCATCATTACATCAGAAGAGCGTTGGTGCCAGTACACAATCCTGTTTTACTCCGCTGCTGACTGGGAATGACTCAGAGACAGCGCCATTGAAGGTTACTGTACTGTGCATGTTTTTGTCAAATGACTATGATTGTGAGCAGTCATCGGGGACAACCTATTATTTGCAAGGTACTGAAAAGGCCTCTCACGCATTTGGCGTAACAAGAATATCATGTCTATTGTTGAACGCCCACTCCGGAAGCCACTCTGGGTAGATGCGCAGACCTGTTTACTCTTGCGATTTTGGCGTACAATGTACTATTTAGAGGTGAATAATTATATGTGCTGTATGTTTATTTTTTTACTTTTAAGATGTATTGAATGATTTTGTGATGATATTGTACGATTTTAAGAGTTTGAGGGTAAACAGGTCTGGATGCGGTTAGGTTAGCCAGACTCTGCAATCGTTTAAGGGCAACACGGGCAAAAGTCTTTCCAACTAAGCCAAGGAGAGAAATTCCTTGGTAGCTATTGCAATTACTTTGGTCCCCTTTATTTTTTACCATGTTACGATGTTGGCGTGTCTCATGTCCTGGGGAATGTGACCTGTTTCCCAACACAGACAGGAGCTCATGTAAGGGCTGAAGTAGAATAGATTTTCCATTTTTGAGGACTTCCGGTGAAATGCCGTCAATCCCTGGTGCCTTCCCATCAGCAAGGTAATCGATGGCTTTTTCCAGCTCCTGTAAAGTTGGCTCTTCATATACTTATTCCATTTTTTACAACTCGGGAATATTATGCAGAGCGAGCTCAGTGACTACATTCATTGTTGAGTAAAATTCAAGATAATGCTCTACCCAACACCGGAGTTAGTCGTTTGGGTTCTGGATAATTTGACCTGTCTTGGACTTGAGTGGTGCTATTTTTGAAGTGTGCGGACCTAATACCCTCTTGATGCCCTCGTACATGCTCCTTGCATGTCCGTTGTCAGAAGCCAATTGTATAGAGTTGCAAAGGTCTAGCCAGTAAGTGTTGGCACAGTGGCGAACCATCTGCTGGGATATTATTTTTTTTTTTTGCAGTTCGGAGAGCCTGTAGTGTACTAGCACAAGGTGCATCCCAATAGGCAAGTAGGGCTCCTCTCTTCCTCTCGATTATGGGTTCCATCACATTCCTATGCACCTCGTACCAGTCATTATTTTTATGCTCCATTTTACCATAGGCGGACATGGCTGAATCGTACACAGCATCTCGTAAATGAGTCCACTTAGAGTGACCCTAAGCAAGAGTTTCCTGCAACACTTTTGTGAATTAGTGCATTTTTTCTGGGTTATTTGAGCAGTGGATGTTGATTCGGCAGCTAAAAAAATCTTTTTTTAAATTAAAATTTTGATTACTTGCAAAACAAGGTGTGCTTAGAATAATTTTTAAAAATCAATACCATTAATAAGTTATATAAATATATTGATAATGCAAAATATTAAAGCTGCACATTTACTAAACAACATTAATATTTATAAATCATTCTACCATGACATCAATTTCTTTTTTAAGTGTTAAAACAAATGTATCTTTCATTATGTAGTATGTGGCTTACAATAAATTCAAAATGTATTAACTTTTTATTGCTTGTTATTGTTTACCAGATAAGCTCATCTATTTAGATTCCCTTTATAAAATATTACACAGATTTGTAATAATTCTCCATGTTAAGAATTGTTAATATTTTTAAACAGATAGTTTTTCTGAGCATTTTACTTTTTAAACTTTTTTTATTGACTTAATTTTTAAAAAATAATAATTTTATCATCTGTCAAAGTACAGTTTTTTTTTACTACACACAATTTTTTGGTATCATTTTTTATACATCAAATATATAATGATTAAATAATAATTGTAATTGGTATCTTTGTTGTATATTTGAACTCCAAGAAATTTCAGATATTTAAAAAAAAACAACTGACTTCAGCTTTGTAGCTCTGGTCACAAAATATGATTTTTATTCTATTATTTTATATTGACAACGACTTTCAGTTTCCAAAGTTCCTTATGTCCCGTCAGACCAGTTTATTTACAACATTCTATTATTGAATGACCATTGGTGTACAAGTATCAAAGAAATGGAATGTTAACGTAAATAAAACAAAAACTGATACATGTTCTAATAGCAAACTACTGGAGACACAAAGTGATGTTACCACTCTGCACATTGATAAGTATGTTTTAATAATCTTCAGCAAATTTGTGTTAAATATTATATAAATTATTGAGACATGGTACACCTGGTACATTGAAAATTACACTTTTGTAATTGTAATGTTAGTATGCCCTCAAAAAGTTAGAATATTTTTTTGCTGGCATATTTTCTTCTTACCAGGTTTTCACTGACCCATATTTAAAAGTTATTATTTAGTAATCTAATTTTTTTCTATGTTTACTAATAAATTTATCACCAAGGCTTGACACGTACAAAATTTCCCACCACTCATTTGAGACCAGGATTTTCTTCTTGAATATTTTCTTTAATAGTTTTGTTATTTTATTCTTAGATAAAACTGCTAAGTAAAACTGTATAAAAGTGTGACATACAGTTTTACTTAGCAAAATGAATCAAACAAATCTTACAATGTATGACGTTATTTGCATTCTTTAAAACTATTTACTTAAAAGTGTGACAATTAAATAGTTTTAAAGAATGCAAATAACATATCATTCAGTGTAAGATTTGTTTGATTCATTTGTTGGATCAATTCTCTTTTGTATTATAAAAAATATCATTTCTAATCTGAGTCAAAATAAAGATTGTTTGATCCATTCGGTTTTGTAACCTAAATGTATAACATATTGCAAATTTTAGTTAAGATAAACATGCATTCTTTTCCACAGTCAATTTGATATCATTTTAAGCTGTTCATCCTATTGCTTGAAACTCCTTTGTATTGTATATATTCAATTAGTAGCTGCATTTGAGATAGTTATACAAGTCCTATATACATGTCCTAGGAAATTTATGCTTTAAAAAGCTGGATATTTAATGCAATGTGTCAAGTTTAACCTGTTTGAATTTGAGTAATGTGCAACATGTGTAGGAGATATTTTCATTAGTCTAGACCTGTGAAGGGCAAACTTTTTGTGAGGAGGGCCACATTGACAAATTATGTAAAGCTATTGGGGGGACGCGTGTATATTATGTCCAATTTTTACATGTTGACAATCATTTCTCTATATTAAAATCAGTAAATTCGCATTCTAGCATTACATGACAAAAGTCAGGACTGTTTAAAAAAATAGAAAATTAGAAAGTGGATCAAAAATGTTGCATGAAATTATGTATAATTCAACAAAAAAAACCTTAAAAAAGTAATTTTTAATATTTCTAAATGCCTTCGAGGGCTGCATAATATCAGTTGCCATGCGGCCTGTAGTTTGCCCAACCCTGGTCCAGACATATGATCTTGTATTTTTGCTCAAGAAAAACAAGCCCAGGGTATAACTGTACATTACATAATTTTAATCTTGTATGTTTCAACCTCAAGAATTTTTTTTCCATTTCAAAATTCCTGACTGGAGTTAATGTAAAATACAGGTGCAAGTACAATAAATTATTTTATACCTACAAGCTGTACAAATAATTAGTTGTGAGCACACCATCTTTAAAATAATTTGAATTGCTTTAACACAAATGTAATAAAGTTATAATTATAGTATACTATTATATATATAAGACCCAAAACACTGCTAACATTGCAAAACAATAATTTATTATGATTTAATTTAAGATTCAGTTGAAATGCCTTGATCAATAACTTCTTTCAGTATTTTTAGTCCCATGTTATTCAATGGTTGTGTTTCAGACCTACGGTATACATCTTAAAGTTATGACCATTCTCTAAATGCTGCTTCTTCAGTGCATGTTTGCCATGCCATGTAAATTATAGGAACCAAAACCACACTATTGCCTTCTAATTTTTTATTCTTACAGATGTGATAATGTCGCATAACTTTGAATTTTAAATTAAATCGGAGGTGCATGATTTGAAAATAATACTATACAAGCTGAGTGTGCAGATTAGCAAGTTAATGTTTAATAAATAAATGTCATTAGTAAGATATTTCTTTAAAATATAGCTAAAATCTAATGTTGAATATTAGGTAAATAGAAGTAGAAGCATTCCACCTTTCCCAGTACTAACAAAGCTGATCCTTGAATGTACACCATTTACTTTGGGGGCTTTATGATTATGTTATAGTTTGTTTCTCATACATGCTATTAACTAAAACATAAAGCCCACAAAGTAAATGGTGTAACATTTGTGTCACTGTCACACAAGATAACAAACACCACCTTTAGTATAACATTCTGTCATACAAGATAACATTGAAGAAAGAAAAAAAAACTTAAATTTTCAACCAAAATGTTTTTCATACATGCTATTTTTTGGTTGAAAATTTAAGTTTTTTTTTCTTTCTTCAAATGTTATCTTGTATGACAGAATGTTATACTAAAGGTGGTGTTAATTATCTTGTGTGACACAAATGTTACCCTAAAGGTGGTGTTTATTATCTTGTGTGACAGAATAAACATTTTACTTATCAAGTCACAAAATATTATTTTTACCCCTTATCTATTAGTAGACATTACTGTTTATTCTAGTGCTGATAATTATGCATTGATAACTTTTATTTCTTGGATGCCTGGAATTTCCAGTGGAAGTATTTCTTCATAAAGTTGTTAATCTCTTCATTCCTCATCATTAATAATGCAGGACACTAAGATTTTAACCTAGTAGCATGTATTATAACACCCATATTTGTCTTTCTTATCTTATGCTGTGGGCTTTAATGTTTGCAGTGCCCCAAGTTGAATGAATTATTGTAGCTTATTAATAAAAACAAAAAGGATTTAAAAGGAAAAAAAATAATACATTTTACAGATGAGAGGCAACAGAAGATCTGGAAAGATTAAATTATAAGTGGGTTGAGATGTCAAATAATGTGTCTTTGGGCTTTAATTTTGTTCATTTTGAGTTTGTTTAGTTTTCCAATCTTGTATTTATAATGGTATTAAGCATTTATTACCCTGCCTTAAAAAATCTTATTTCTTTTAAATTTATTTCCAAGACATGGAAGCTAAATATACTTTAAAAAAAATCTTTATGACTATACTTCTTTATAAAAATCCTAAATACATTTAAAACATATGATGAAAATACAAATAAATTAAAATTGTATAAGCTATTGATATTGCCTGATGATGTTGACATGTTACCATGTATTAATATGTATGTATGTATGTATATAAACATAAATAACATACTTTGGCATTTAAAAATTCTTTTTAACAATTTTATATATTGGTATCCTGAAAGGCCATAGGCAACCTTCAAAATTTAAGATATCTGGGTGAAAATTAAAATTTAAAAAGTAAACTAGTGGCAAGTAATTTTAATGTGTTTTGTGAAGTTAAGAATATTTATTTCAATTAAACTTTACAAAACATACAAGATTTTTTAATATAAAATAATGATAATTCTTCTCCATGAAGGAAATACCCAAATATACTTTCAATATTACGTGTCATATAAATAAAACTGCACTGATTAAGAAATTTATTTTCAATGAAGAACTTTCACAGCACCAAGGCAGTTTAGTAACAGGTACAAGAAATTAGGGCTTGTTTAAAAAAAAATAAATTTAAGCACACCTTGACCTGGTCAACATTCTTTAGTGTTTTATAAATTTTAATTCGTGCAGTATAAAATCGTTTCAACAAGTTTTTAAAAAGAATTTAAAAATGGTCTTTTATTTGTAGAAGTTACAATAAAAATTGGGATAACATCCTTTTCAGTCATAAGGCTTATAATTATAATAACATGTTTAAATACACAATCTATGAAAAATAATTTCCAGCCAGAACTTTGTAGCATTAAATATCAACAAGTCTTTCAATGTAAATTATATAACAAAAGCACAAGAGTTACAAAAGTTTTTTTTGTAGATACATACCCCGGTAAGTTAAAAATTTACAATGAGGAAAATGGGCTGAAAACAAAAATTGGGCCTCTCATAATCAACCCATGTCAATTATTTTGCAGTTGCAGTTGATTTTTAATTTATTTTGCTGTTGTATTTCAAATTTGTAGATAATTTTTTTTTATACTAATCACAATTATAGAGCTACTATTAGGGTTACCTTGAGTAAAGGTAAACCATTATTACAATAACTCAGGTGGCACTGGGTAAAGAAACAGAGGCAAGCGCCTCCTGATCCCCAAACTTTGGAACGTTGTGTATCAGCTGGGAAATAACAACCACTAGCCACCATAAAAAAGGGGACCATCCTCTGAAAAGTTACAATAAAATGACTAGTGATGTGGCTAGGAGTGTGCCATTGAAGAGCATGTCACATCAAAGGCTGATGTCACGCAAGTGTCATTATAACAACAGTTAGATGGGTCAAGCAGCTACCTGGTACAAACCCATAAAAATATCCAAGATTCTATCAAAAACATCTAGATTTACATCTAAAAATCTAG